GGAAAAAAAGTCTGTTTTCTAAAGATTATATCTAATAATTATGTAATTATATATAGCTAATAAATACAAAACAGATATTAAACAAAAATAATACAGAATAGATATCAAGATAGATGACTTGTCAGCATCATTTATAGTATTTATACAGAATAGCAAAAAATTATTATAATTAAAAAAATATTAAATATTAAAATTATATATAAAAAAAAAACAGGTATATGAATTATAATCGCTGTAACTCAATATTTTGAGTTATAGCTTTTAAAAAATCTTGAAGTTCAATTTTATTTTCCTCAAAACGTGTGCATAAAGCATTTAATCTTATTTCCATTTTCTTTTTTTTTCTGTTTACTGATTGCTCACCCAGTTCATTTAAAGCTAATTTTGCGCGGTCTGCAGCTATCTCATATCTTATTTTAGTAATTAGTTTCCAAATTGTTAGATGATTTTGTCCAACCATATGTGAAAATCGAGAGTTCCAACTTTCACACACATTATTGGTTCTATGCCCGTCAGACAATGTTGTCAAATTAACATTCCAAGTTGCAGGAGGAAATAGTGGAGGTAGGTGTACGACGATATCGTACTACTATATTATTTYTACAAGGTCTACCTGGGCGAAATCTGCCATTTACATATGTATGGTCGAAATATAAAAGTAGGTAAATCTTCAGCTCCAAACGGGACAATATTTTTTGAGTGTGACATACCGTCTTCAACAAACTCTATTTGGGAGAAATGCTAACCCGTCTATCATACAACAGAAAAGATTGAACTCGTCGTCATTGCGATACCGGTTTTCAAGACCCAGCTCTTGTATTTCTCGGTGGGTACTTTGCGTAAGGTGATAAAAGCAACCACGGATATTTATATGTTCACCTAAAATATTTTTTGCAGCTTTAATCACAGCCATTTCAAAATCAATATTCAAAAACATTGGGTCTGGGTATAAATCTCGATCTTTACAAATGTTCAGTATTATAGAAAACAGACTTTCGTAAGACGATCTTGTTTTATTCTGCATTAAAATGAATAAAGACGAAACATATACACTATTCAATTCTATTCGTATGACATACAGCTGTAGAAATGGTTTTGGAGCTAACTTGAAATTGTAGTAGATTTTATCATTCTATATTGACTATTATAACGTATTTTTCAGATAAAACTAACATTGTATACAGAGTGATTATATAAGTTTTATTTAAAATGTTTCAAATTGTATATTTTATAAGCTTTTTTTGCCCTGAGACTTTTT